ATGGAGAAATTATGCGATAACAGGCGAGATGAAGGCTTCTAAAGACTGATACTGACACATTAATGGACGAGAGAAAGAGAGAGAGAGAGAAGAGGAGAGAGAGAGAGAGAGAGAGAGAAGAGGGCAGACTGACAGAGCCAGAGAGAGAGAGAAGATAAAGAGATAATGTGAGATACTAAAGCAAAGAGAGACAGACGTGAGACACATACGAGAGAGCTAGGGGAAAGAGAGAAAGAGAGAGAGAGAGTCTAAATCTACTGGTTTTAGAGACCTCCAAAACGACGATATGTGCCACAAACAACAATGCCACTAACAAGCACGAGACACTTGACACGATGTGTTGTAACACCGGACCACAAGTCAGCAAGGACAATAGACAGAACAATCTGCAGGCCATCAGACCATCTGGTGTCTGTGGATCTGATTCTTCATATTTGAGAGACTGATCCCAGGACTCGGTTGCTGTGGGGGTTAACATTTGACTGTTTGTCCTTCTTGCCCAGACATTCCCAGCCATCCTTTGTCTGACAGAGTGACACTGGATCAGATAACACATGCGGTGGCCGGCAGATACGCCACAGTCAACGAGATCTTTCTCAAAGGGTTGATTAGTTGACACCATGAAGGTGAGGGTGACATTAAAGGTTAGCCGGCCTGTCCGCATGTGGCACGTCCTGTCTGGGTGTGGGACGTCCTGTCTGGGTGTGGGACGTCCTGTCTGGATGTGGGACGTTCTGTCTGGGTGTGGGACGTCCTGTCTGTGTGAGGGATATCCTGTCTGGGTGTAGGACATCCTGTCTGGGTGGGGAACGTCCTGTCTGTATGTGGGACATCCTGTCTGGGTGTGGGACATCCTGTCTGTATGTGGGACATCATGTCTGGGTGTGGGACGTCCTGTCTGGGTGTGGGACATCCTGTCTGTATGTGGGACATTCTGTCTGTATGTGGGACATCCTGTCTGGGTGTGGGACGTCCTGTCTGGGTGGGGAACGTCCTGTCTGTGTGAGGGACGTCCTGGCTGGGTGAGGGACGTCCTGTCTGGGTGTGGGACGTCCTGTCTGGGTGTGGGACGTCCTGTCTGGGTGTGGGACGTACTGTCTGGGTGTGGGACGTCCTGTCTGGGTGTGGGACGTCCTGTCTGGGTGTGGGACGTCCTGTCTGGGTGTGGGACGTCCTGTCTGGGTGTGGGACGTCCTGTCTGGGTGTGGGACGTCCTGTCTGGGTGTGGGACGTCCTGTCTGTGTGAGGGACATCCTGTCTGGGTGTGGGACGTCCTGTCTGGGTGGGGAACGTCCTGTCTGTATGTGGGACATCCTGTCTGTATGTGGGACATCCTGTCCGGGTGTGGGACGTCCTGTCTGGGTGGGGAACGTCCTGTCTGTATGTGGGACGTCCTGGCTGGGTGAGGGAAGTCCTGTCTGTGTGTGGTACGTCCTGTCTGGGTGTGAGATGTCCTGTCTGGGTGTGGGACGTACTGTCTGGGTGTGGGACGTCCTGTCTGGGTGTGGTTCGTCCTGTTTGGGTGTGGGACGTCCTGTCTGGGTGTGGGACGTTCTGTCGGGGTGTGGGATGTCCTGTCTGGGTGTGGGACGTTCTGTCGGGGTGTGGGACGTCCTGTCTGAGTGTTGGACGTTTTGTCGGAGTGTGGGACGTCCTGTCTGAGTGTGGGACGTCCTGTCTGGGTTGGGACGTTCTGTATGGGTGTATGATGTTCTGTTTGGGTGTGGGACGTCCTGTCTGCACGTTGGACGTCCTGTCTGCACGTGGAACGTCCTGTCTGCATGCGGAACGTCCTGTCTGCCCGTGGAAAGTCCTGTCTGCACGTGGAACGTCCTGTTAGGTGCCACAGATATCCGGCTGATTCCGTCAGTAGTTGCATGCTGTACTGCTGATGATGTTAGAGCGTTGGACTCATTGCGGCGTTAGAGGTGACGTTTTTAGATCTCTGCAACAACAACTACTGAGAAAGCATTTGTCAAGGATATATTCATAAATCTATAGTGTATGATGACAGTATTAGAAATAAGTTTACATAAACCCTTATCCATTAGGGATGTGTGTTTTCGAAGCATGGTGTCTGCCTCGAGTGCTAGAGGTTCCCGGTTCAATCCCCGGTAAGGGTTAGGACTTTTTTCTGTGGACTTGGACTTTTAGTAATTCCCCCTGGTCTCTGGGGGGTGATATCAGACGCACGTGTGATTTGTTGCGCACGTAAAAAATCCACTGACAGCTGGGAATCGAAAAGAGTAGCCTAACGGCGCTGCCCGGGCAAAATTTGAACGTAAAGATCAAGTGAGAATAGTTACCAACCTGAAACTTTCCAAGGAAACGATCTGCTACCGCTAACTACAATACCTCCTTTCTTGACCATATCTGTGTGCACGGAAACCGCAACAATTAGGTTTTCTCAGTCACAGTCCACGAGAGAAATCTGATGTCAACTAACTGTGCAAAGATGTCCCCTACTTCAGAAATACTGTCTTAGTTGATTACATATAATGTCGTCTATTCAAAATACAAATCACACAAATCCAATGAGTTATACACACAAGTAGAATATTGTCACATACGCACACACACATATTCCACGAGTCCACATATGGCTACCACATCCACCACGACCGCTGAAATGATTCCTGGCACAGCCACTCAAGTCTGAGCCGGGTTGGCCGAGATCGCATCTCTGCACGTTAATTAATTTGAGCCAGGGTCAAAGGTTGTTACAACAGTCAAGTCTAGTGTGTGAGCAAGTGGGATACAGATAACAGGACTGGTCGCAGTACCAAGTGTGTTGCATTGTTGTTGTTGTTGTTTTCTTGTTTTTATTACTATTTTTTTAAATTATTGTTACAGGGTTGAGTAAAGAATGTCTTACGACTGATAGCTCTGTTGTGTTGTGATGTTGTGAATATTAGCCTCGGGGTGTATGTGTATGTGTGTGTATGTGTGAATATGTGATGTGTGTATTTGTATGTGTTTGTGTGTATGTGTGTGTGTGCGTGTGTAGGTGTGTGTGTGTGTTTGTACGTGTATGTGTGTGAAAGTGTGTGTATGTGTGTGTGCATGTGTATGTATGTGTGTATGTGTGTATGTGTGTGTATATATTTTTATATATTTTTTTTATAATGTGTTGTGTATATATATATATATATATATATATATATATATATATATATATATATATATATATATATATATATATATATATATGTATGTATGTGTGTATGTGTGTATGTGTGTATGTGTGTGTATGTGTGCGCATGTTTGTGTATGTGTGTAAATATGTGTGTATGTGTGTATGTGCACGCCTGTTTGCAGTGATGTGTTCTCAGACATATTTCCAGTGTCTGTATGTGTGTATGTGCACGCCTGTTTGCAGGGATGTGTTCTCAGACATATGTCCAGTGCCTGTGTGTAAAACAATATTTTACAGTTCTCATTTCTCAACTTTTTCTATTTTAACAATGTCGCTACATAATAATGTTTCAATCATTCTGAGAGGGAGATATAATTGGGCAGACGCTTGAGTCCTTGGTAGCGTAGTTGTCTATTTTGCGTGTTACGCGGGTGACCAGCGATCAATGGATTTTTTTTTTTTGCGCCCTTAACTAGGCGACTGGCACTTTGTGTTGGGGTCTACAGCTAGGCTGCGATATCTACGCCTTTTTCCCGCTCGGTTTTGGGGTTTACAGCTAGCCTGCGATGTTGGTCATGTCACGGGTAATCTTCGTTCGCCCTGGAGAGAGCGGTCAGCGCGTTGTGTTGTGGTTTACAAATAGGCTGCGATATCTGCACCCTTCGCCCAAAGACATCCGATTTCAGTAAAGTTCCAGACCCCGGTGTGGGTTCCGGAACAGATCTGTTAAACGGATGCAAACGCAACACTCAGGTTCTGGAACAGGACTGCAGTCCAGAAGTGGACGAGCAACCAGAACTTTCTGCCAGAGTTTAGAGCTGGTGAACGCAAAGAAGAAGAAGTAAAGTCCCATTTCTCCTCCCCGCGACGCTTCGCTCGATCATAAACTATTCGTTGATGACAGAAGCTGTTAACTAAGACGGCTTACAGTCCAGTTTATTTTGGGTGGAGACGGATGCCAAGGTAATTTAACAATCGTCCCTTCGGAGAGGGGAGATGACGGGTGGGGTTTTTTATTTCCGCTATTTGTGAGTACAGAACGGGCTGTTACTGTGGGTTCCATCACTGGTTAGGTGATAGAGTTTTTTTTTCTTTGTTGGGAGCTCAATTACACTAAACAGTCCGTGGCGAAAACATGCGGTGCTAACCCCTCTGGCTACAACGACATGCACAGACAGTAGTGACTGTTTTTTGTTTTTGTTCTGAAGGTGGTGGTGGTAGTGGTAGCATTAGTACTGGTACTGGATGGGTGATGTGGTATCTGTTACACTGGACACATTTACTTCTCAGTACACATCAATGCTATCCATTTTTGTCTGGGTGGACACGGATGCAAAGCTCAATTTAGTGACAATATTTCCTCAGATGATGACTTTTCCATCCTTCGGCGAGGGTGATATGATTAGTGGGGGGGGGGGGGGGGTGTCTGGTGGGGGTTGCTGCCAGACACTGTTAACTGAGAGAGCTTAGAAGATTATTTTAAAGTTATCATTTCTTAACTATTTCTAGTTGAATACTTTCGCCAGGGATGATTTTACAATCCTTTGGAGAGGGAGATATGACTGGGCGGAGGGGAGAGGAAGGGGGGGGGGGTTGAGGGTTATGACAGACGCTGTTAGCTGCCAGCTATTTTCTTTCTTTTCCATTTCACCATTCTGGGCCACAGCAACGCGTGGCCGGGCACAGCTAGTAATATATACACAGTTGACTGCCCATTTACACCTTACGAAGCGTGTCACTAAGAGAAAATAAATAACAACACAAGGCATGATAACACTGATTTGTGAATTTCTTAACGTATAAATAAACAACAATCCATATTGCTAATGGAGACATATTGGAATGAAACTACAACAAAGATGGCCTAGTGTTTGACAATGCCTTCCAGGTCGTCGGTCCGCATGTCTTTGTCGGTGAGTTCATATTTCTTCACCTCGACCACGTTACAGTCCACAATCTTCACCGGTCGCCTGGGTTTCTGTGTCTTGTCCAGGTTACCCATGCGGTTGATGGCCATCAGGTATTCCTGTTTGTTGGAGACAGACACAGTGTCAAGCCAGTAGCGGCGTGGATGAGAACTGTAACATAGTTTTTGTGTATCACTGTGAAAGTTGAGTAAGTCTTGGGGACCAGGGGACGGTGGGCAGAACTGTAACATAGTTTTTGTGTATCACTGTGAAAGTTGAGTAAGTCTTGGGGACCAGAGGACGGTGGGCAGAACTGTACCGGGGTTTTTGTGAATGACTGTGAAAGTTGAGTAGGGCATGGGGGACAAGAGGATGGTGGGCAGAACTGTACCGGGGTTTTTGTGTATGACTGTGAAAGTTGAGTAAGTCTTGGGGACCAGGGGACAGTGGGCAGAACTGTAACATAGTTTTTGTGTATCACTGTGAAAGTTGAGTAAGTCTTGGGGACCAGGGGACGGTGGGCAGAACTGTAACATAGTTTTTGTGTATCACTGTGAAAGTTGAGTAAGTCTTGGGGACCAGGGGACGGTGGGAAGAACGCACAGACAAATATGCAGCAATAGAAGCAGACGGACTGGCTGTCACAGAGATGGATAAAAAAAAAATAACACACAAGGAGGGATGGATGGATGGAGAGACAGAGACAGGCAGGCATGCACACCGATAGATAAAATGGGCGAACGAACGAGCTTCAGTTCATTAGACAAACAGAGGGGTAAATAGATAGAAATACAGACAAACTTACCCGTGCACCCACCAACATACCGACCAACTGACAGACAGACAGACAGACAGACAGACAGACAGACAGACAGACAGACAGACAGACAGACAGACAGACAGACAGACAGACAGACAGACAGACAGACAGACAGACAGACAGACAGACAGGCAGGCAGGCAGGCAGGCAGATAGATAGATAGATAGATAGATAGATAGATAGATAGATAGATAGATAGATAGATAGATAGATAGATAGATAGATAGATAGATAGATAGATAGATAGATAGATAGATAGATAGATAGATAGATAGATAGATAGATAGAATCACTTACCCGTGCACCCACCAACATACCGACCAACTGACTGACGGAAAGACAGACAGACAGACAGACAGACAGACAGACAGACAGACAGACAGACAGACAGACAGACAGACAGACAGACAGACAGACAGACAGACAGACAGACAGACAGACAGACAGACAGACAGACAGACAGACAGACAGACAGACAGACAGACAGGCAGGCAGGCAGGCAGGCAGGCAGGCAGGCAGGCAGGCAGATAGATAGATAGATAGATAGATAGATAGATAGATAGATAGATAGATAGATAGATAGATAGATAGATAGATAGATAGATAGATAGATAGATAGATAGATAGATAGATAGATAGATAGATAGATAGATAGATAGATAGATAGATAGATAGATAGATAGATAGATAGATAGATTGATAGATAGATAGATAGATAGATAGATAGATAGATAGATAGATAGATAGATAGATAGAATCACTTACGTATCCTCTGACCACTTTACCAAAAGCCACATGTTTCTTGTCGAAGAACCTACTGGGCCCGAAGGTGATAAAGAACTGAGAACCGTTGGAATCCTTGCCCTTGTTGGCCATGCTGACGATGCCGCCGCTGGAGTGGCTGATGAGGAAGTTCTCGTCGTTGAATGTCTCGCCATAGATGCTGGTACCTGGTGATGGACAAGGTGATCTATGTGACCAGACTGTTCCCCCTTAGGGCTGTTGTCTCAAAGCTAGATCAGCTCTATGTGGTTCTAAGAATCTCAGGGCTGTTGTCTCAAGGCTAGATCAGCTCTATGTGGTTCCAAGAATCTCAGGGCTGTTGTATCAAGGCTAGATCAGCTATGTGATTCCAAGAATCTCAAGGCTGTTGTCTCAAGGCTAGATCAGCTCTATGTGATTCCAAGAATCTCAAGGCTGTTGTCTCAAGGCTAGATCAGCTATGTGATTCCATGAATCTCGTCATTGATGTCAAACCGACAGAGCAAATTTCAGATTTCCCGTGTCAACTCCAAAGAAGCTGTAAACCGGGGCATCTCACATTGAGTGTAGGCAATTATACCTGGGCGTAAGAGCCTGCCCTTTATCTCTCCGGGCTGCTACCAGAAGAGCATGATACACTGAAACCAGAAGATTTCAGTCTGGAAGGTGGAGCAACAAAGCCTGAAGGTTTGACATCGTGAGACTAAATAATCTCAGTGCTGATGGCAGACCACCAGGGGAAGCTCAGATATCCGTCTCAGCCTCCAAGGACAGGCTAACAGCCACACCAGATGGGGGACACCTTCAGTTTGTGTGGGCATGGATACTGATCTACGGCATGCACCACTGTACTGAGTGGTTAAGGGTTTTGATCCACATGACTTATCAGTTGTAAGAGACACTGCATGTGCAAAAGTAGCATGGTAGACGGAACACAGTCTTAATTAAATGCTTTTGGGAGATAACTGCTCATTGTTCTAGTTCATAGTCTGAAGCCGACGGAGCACACATAGAACAGCCACACATGGCACATAATGTTGATACAGTCAAGGGTGAAAACACCAGCCCCAGTTACTTACCTGTCTTTAAGATCCCAAGCTGGTAACTTCTCTTTCCTGAAACTTCGCAAAGCTGGCCGTTCTTTCTCTAATAAAGGCTGTCTCTCTCTCTCTCTCTCTCTCTCTCTCTCTCTCTCTCTCTCTCTCTCTCTCTCTCTCTCTCTCTCGCTCTCTCTCTCTCTCTGTATCTCGCTCTCTCGCGCTCTCTCTCTCTCTCTCTGTCTCGCTCTCTCTCTGTCTCTCTCTCTGTCTCTCTGTCTCTCTCTCTCTCTCTCTCTCTCTCTCCTTTATTATATATGATCTCTTACCTATCTGTTAACTTGTTAAAACATTGAGATTCTCTTCCCAGGTCTCTACTGTCTCTCTGTCTCTCTCTCTCTCTCTCTCTCTCCTCTCTCTCTCTCTCTCTCTCTCTCTCTCTCCTTTATTATATATGATCTCTTACCTATCTGTTAACTTGTTAAAACATTGAGATTATCTTCCCAGGTCTCTACTGTCTCTCTGTCTCTCTCTCTCTCTCTCTCTCTCTCTCTCTCTCTCTCTCCTTTATTATATATGATCTCTTACCTATCTGTTAACTTGTTAAAACATTGAGATTCTCTTCCCAGGTCTCTACTCTCTCTCTGTCTCTCTCTCTCTCTCTCTCTCTCTCTCTCCTTTATTATATATGATCTCTTACCTATCTGTTAACTTGTTAAAACATTGAGATTCTCTTCCCAGGTCTCTACTGTCTCTCTGTCTCTCTCTCTCTCTCTCTCTCTCTCTCTCTCTCTCTCTCCTTTATTATATATGATCTCTTACCTATCTGTTAACTTGTTAAAACATTGAGATTCTCTTCCCAGGTCTCTACTCTCTCTCTGTCTCTCTCTCTCTGTCTCTCTCTCTCTCTCTCTCTCTCTCTCTCTCTCTCTCTCTCCTTTATTATATATGATCTCTTACCTATCTGTTAACTTGTTAAAACATTGAGATTCTCTTCCCAGGTCTCTAGTCTAGTCTTGCAAACTGAACTGCTGTGTTCTAGTAGAAACATTCCTAGCAGTTTGTTTCTCGCTTGCTCTGATCACAGTTCCGATTGTCCCCCCTGTACAGTTTGTGTATGTAGGAATCTCTCTGTTGTCCCCTGTACAGTGTGAATGTAGGAATCTCTCTGTTGTCCCCTGTACAGTGTGAATGTAGGAATCTCTCTGTTGTTTCCCTGTACAGTGTGCATGTAGGAATCTTCCTGTTGTTTCCCTGTACAGTGTGTATGTAGGAATCTTTCTGTTGTTTCCCTGTACAGTGTGTATGTAGGAATCTCTCTGTTGTTTCCCTGTACAGTGTGTATGTAGAAATCTTTCTGTTGTTTTCCATGTACAGTGTGTATGTAGGAATCTGTCTGTTGTTCCCCATGTACAGTGTGCATGTAGAAATCTTTCTGTTGTTTCCCATGTACAGTGTGCATGTAGAAATCTGTCTGTTGTTCCCCATGTACAGTGTGCATGTAGAAATCTTCCTGTTGTTTCCCTGTACAGTGTGTATGTAGGAATCTTTCTGTTGTTTCCATGTACAGTGTGTATGTAGGAATCTCTCTGTTGTTCCCATGTACAGTGTGTTTGTAGGAATCTTCCTGTTGTTTCCCTGTACAGCGTGTATGTAGGAATCTCTCTGTTGTTTCCCTGTACAGTGTGTATGTAGAAATCTGTCTGTTGTTTCCCTCTACAGTGTGTATGTAGGAATCTGTCTGTTGTTTCCCTGTACAGTGTGTATGTAGGAATCTGTCTGTTGTTTCCCTGTACAGTGTGTATGTAGGAATCTGTCTGTTGTTTCCATGTACAGTGTCTATGTAGGAATCTGTCTGTTGTTTCCCTGTACAGTGTGTATGTAGGAATCTCTCTGTTGTTTCCCTGTACAGTGTGTATGTAGGAATCTGTCTGTTGTTTCCCTGTACAGTGTGTATGTAGGAATCTCTCTGTTGTTTCCCTGTACAGTGTGTATGTAGGAATCTCTCTGTTGTTTCCCTGTACAGTGTGTATGTAGGAATCTTCCTGTTGTTTCCCTGTACAGTGTGTATGTAGGAATCTGTCTGTTGTTTCCCTGTACAGTGTGTATGTAGGAATCTGTCTGTTGTTTCCCTGTACAGTGTGTATGTAGGAATCTCTCTGTTGTTCCCCTCTACAGTGTGTATGTAGGAATCTCTCTGTTGTTTCCCTGTACAGTGTGTATGTAGGAATCTTCCTGTTGTTTCCCTGTACAGTGTGTATGTAGGAATCTCTCTGTTGTTCCCCTCTACAGTGTGTATGTAGGAATCTGTCTGTTGTTTCCCTGTACAGTGTGTATGTAGGAATCTTCCTGTTGTTTCCCTTTACAGTGTGTATGTAGGAATCTGTCTGTTGTTTCCCTGTACAGTGTGTATGTAGGAATCTCTCTGTTGTTTCCCATGTACAGTGTGTATGTAGGAATCTTCCTGTTGTTTCCCTGTACAGTGTGTATGTAGGAATCTGTCTGTTGTTTCCCTGTACAGTGTGTATGTAGGAATCTCTCTGTTGTTCCCCTCTACAGTGTGTATGTAGGAATCTGTCTGTTGTTTCCCTGTACAGTGTGTATGTAGGAATCTGTCTGTTGTTCCCCTGTACAGTGTGTATGTAGGAATCTTCCTGTTGTTCCAATGTACAGTTTGTATGTAGGAATCTGTCTGTTGTTCCTCTGTACCATGTGATAATGTGACAAATCTATGGCATGACCGACAGTAGAGAGGTGTGGATTCACTTGCCTTGTCTGTGTCGTCTGCTGGTCTATGGCAGATGTGGAGAGAGTGGACTGTGGTCGGGAAGCTAAAGTGATTGCCCCTTTAAATGAATAGTTGTCTGTTGAAGACACTTCACTTATGAAGGCATTCCTTTATCAATAACATTTGACTGTAACGGGGACGGTCAATTTTACATAAATTTGTCATTAGAACACACTTCTTCTTCTTCTTCTTCTTCTTCTTCTTCTTCTTCTTCTTCTTCTTCTTCTTCTTCTTCTTCTTCTTCTTCTTCTTCTTCTTCTTCTTCTTCTTCTTCTTCTTCTTCTTTTTCTTCTTTTACCCAGAGTTCATCCAAGGATGTAAACATGTTGCCGACAGACAGCATGCTGGGATATGTGCAGTCGAGTGTCGGAACCAGTTCTATGTTGGATGAGATCTGCCTCTGTGGAATAGCTGATGTAACCGATGGATGACGTTTAGAGACAAATGTCTTACTTCCTCGGCCGTCCAGCCCATGGACGTCTCCGCACTGTATCAGCATGTCGCGAACGACTCGATGACAGTAAGTGTTCTTGAAGGTGATGAGCGGTTGCTGGCAGACAGAAACAGACAAGTGTGTTTATTATGTTCCTGGCGAAATTATTATGTTCTTTGATTAAGACAAACCTATGGTTTGTTATTGGATCCCGCCCGCACAGAGACAAGTCCATGCGGTGGTATCCAAACTTGGATACAATCAAGTCTACTCAAACAGAGCATCTATACAAAACTATCAATAGCTTAAGATAAGGCGATTTTCCATAGGGAGAAAAAAACATGTGCCAGTAGGTACCACTAGAAAGTGTTTATACAGAAGTGCTCGAAAACTGATGACTTTAGAGAATGATTACGATTCTGACTACCGTTAGATACCATCTAACAACAACAATAAAAACAAAAACCTTTGACTAAATTTGTTTTCCAAATATATCTGTTGTCTGTTATGTTGAAAGGGTCACATACTTTCAAAGAGGAAGACATATTCTCAAAATGTCTCTGCTTTTCAAAAATGACCTGAAGAAATGCTAAAGCACCAATGGAATGGAATATCAAACCCGTGTATATATTTATCAATGGAAGCGGTCTCAAACACAGCAGACACACAGAGTTCAGTTCTGTAAACGTCCGCAGATTTTTCATGGACCCTCAATGGAAATCACTTTTTTCTCTCATAAATGACCTAGTCTCCCAGCTCAACTCAGCACAAGTGCTGGAAAAAAAAGGCGGCCGGTGTGATCTTGAAAACGTCACCCAACGAGTGCCAGCTGAGAAGTATTAGGTAGATGGTGCTAACCTTTTATGTTAATGAACCAACCGATACTTGATAACTGTTCTGATCCTTTTTTTGTGTGTGGTCGCCTTTACTCCCAGGAAAATGTCTGGTACTGACGTTAGGCTTGGCGGTAATCTTTACAAGACAGTCAAGAACCCTTTCCCACGATTCACGCCCACTGGGCATACAGGGCTAGACCTATGTTTTTTAGTCGGCACACCTGGGAGATATGGTCAATATCACACCGGCCGCCTTTACTTCCCATAATTTGTCCCTGGTACCCACCCAAGCGTGGGTCGACCCCAGCCCAAACTCCGTTAGGGCTCGAACCCACGACATTATGATCCGTAGAGGAACGACTAGCCGCTACATCACGTCAGCTCTTAACCAGGAAAACTTGAAAATGATTTCGACTGGATGGAAATTCCACCACTTGACCAGAATTTTGAGAAAGGCATTTGCAAACATTGTCGGAGACGAGAGTACTTCCCCATCTGCGACCGGGTCTTTCATTGGCTGGCCGGTAGACGACTATATCGCATGTCAAGACAGTATTTGGGATATTTTTTTATCCTGTCGCCCCCTTGTGGGATGCAATTGTTGGTTATTTGAAGCCCTACTCTGGCTCTTGCCAGGGGCCGCAATATAGCCCGGCCATAAATATGGTCTAATGGCTGAACGCGGTTTCTGTGACCTCTCCACGGTGATCCTCATGCGCATGGTGGCACTTTGTGTCATCGGGTGTTATCGCTTGTGTGATGTCCTGGTGGGGTAGAAAGTAGATAGAAGGTATTTGGTCTGGTCTCCTGTGATCACATTAACACTTCAGGAGTCCTGCATTCTTTACGGCGCACACCTACTCACAGATGCTGGTTAAACGTGCTAGCGAAGCACCTACCCATGACTACCTGGCCTTGCCTGAGTCTGACCACCTGCCTACAGTAAACTAAGCGTCTCAAATGTTCTTACGTTGGGTCTCTTGACGCCCTCGCAGATTGTCTTGAAGTTGAGGGAAGCAACTGGGACTGTGTCCCCTAAAAGCCCAATGACCACCTGACCGTTGAGGTCATCGCCCTGACCGTTGTAGTTCTTCACCTCGATCTCCAGGACCGCTTCAGCCGTGATGGTGTAATTCACGTTGCATGTGCCGAGCGTCAGCAGCGCCGACAATACAAGTCCAGCTTTGTAGTTCATGGTGTCCGACCTGTCAGGACAAATGTCAACAGCTGGGTCAGTAGGGGAGGGTCAGAGGAGCAGGTCAGTGGGGAGGGTCAGTGGGGAGGGTCAGTGGCAAGGGTCAGCGGCAAGGGTCAGTGGGGAGGGTCAGTGGCAAGGGTCAGTGGGGAGGGTCAGTGGCAAGGGTCAGTGGGGAGGGCCAGTGGGGAGGGACCGAGGCAAGGGTCAGTGGGGAGGGTCAGTGGGGAGGGTCAGTGGGGAGGGTCAGAGGGATCCCAGAACAGTTAATCTGTGGATGTCTGGTCTATGTCGTCACACAACAGTTACATCTGTGGATGTCTGGTCTATGACCTCAGACAACAGTTACATCTGTGGATGTATGGTCTATGTCGTCACACAACAGTTACATCTGTGGATGTCTGGTCTATGTCGTCACACAACTGTTATACCTGTGCATGGTTGGTCTATGGCGTCACACAACAGTTACATCTCTGGATGTCTGGTGTATGTCGTCACACAACAATTACATCTATGGATATTTGGTCTATGACCTCAGACAACAGTTACATCTGTGGATGTCTGGTCTATGTCGTCATACTACAGTTACATCTCTGGATGTCTGGTCTATGTCGTCACACAACAGTTACATCTGTAGATGTCTGGTCTATGTCGTCAGAAAACACTTACATCTGTGGATGTCTGGTCTATGTCGTCACACAACACTTACATCTGTGGATGTCTGGTCTATGTCGTCACACAACAGTTACATCTGTGTATGTCTGTTCTATGTCGTCACACAACAGTTACATCTGTGGGTGTCTGATCTATGTCGTCACACAACATTTACATCTGTAGATGTCTGGTCTATATCGTCACACAACACTTACATCTGTGGATGTCTGGTCTATGTAGTCACACAACAATTACATCTGTAGATATTTGGTCTATGGCCTCAGACAACAGTTCCATCTGTGGATGTCTGGTCTATGTCGTCACTCAACAGTTACATGTGTGCATGTCTGGTCTGTGTCGTCACACAACAGTTACATCTGTGGATGTCTGGTCGATGTCGTCACACAACAGTAACATCTGTGGATGTCTGGTCTATGTCGTCACACAACAGTTATATCTGCGGATGTCTGGTCTATGTCGTCACACTAAATTTACATCTGTGGATGTCTGGTCTATGTCGTCACACAACAGTTACATCTGTGGATGTCTGGTCTATGTCGTCACACAACAGTTACATCTGTGGATGTCTGGTCTATGTCGTCACACAACAGTTACATCTGTGGATGTCTGGTCTATGTCGTCACACAACAGTTACATCTGTGCATGTCTTGTCTATGTCGTCACACAACAGTTACATCTGTGGATGTCTGGTCTATGTCGTCACACAACAGTTATATCTGCGGATGTCTGGTCTATGTCGTCACACAACAGTTACATCTGTGCATGTCTTGTCTATGTCGTCACACAACAGTTACATCTGTGGATGTCTGGTCTATGTCGTCACACAACACAATACTGCCAAACAGCAGGCCATGATCAACATAACTACACAATACTCTACATTTTTTCATTACTGTAAAACTTAAACATAACGTAATAACAAACGAAACTACAAAAGACACAAACGTAAGGTAACCAGAGCACGGTGAATGAGGTTTATGTATTTTTCAAGGAAATAAAATACCTTACTTGATAAATTTTCCCCGACGAGGGCAACCAGTGACTTGTATATTTCACACAAACCAATCAAAAAGGAAACGTATACCACTGAATGAAGTATTTAAACGTGGCTGTGAGGTCAATTGCAGACGATAAATTTCAGCCAACCAAAACGTGTGCGACAGATTGCATTATAGGAAGTCGAAGTGAAAGCTGATGCAGCCCGCAGATCGATGCAATGGAAGTCTGTATGACCACGTCGCGCCTCCACGATTCCTTCCACGTCTTACAACATCACCACACGTACCTGGCCACCGGTATCATTCTCTCTTTATGAGCAGCAGCTGGTAGAGTGGGTACGGTGCTGGGCTTTCATACGGGGGACCCCGCTTTGACGCCACGTAAGGAATACAAATTGTGACTTTCACCTATCGGGACAACAATACAATTCTTATCCCGCGACAGGACTAGCCCATGGCTTCAAGTGATGACAGGACTAGCCCATGGCTTCAAGTGATGACAGGACTAGACCATGGCTTCAAGTGATGACAGGACTAGCCCATGGCTTCAAGTGATGACAGGACTAGACCATGGCTTCAAGTGATGACAGGACTAGCCCATGGCTTCAAGTGATGACAGGACTAGCCCATGGCTTCAAGTGATGACAGGACTAGCCCATGGCTTCAAGTGATGACAGGACTAGCTCATGGCTTCAAGTGATGACAGGACTAGCCCATGGCTTCAAGTGATGACAGGACTAGCCCATGGCTTCAAGTGATGACAGGACTAGCCCATGGCTTCAAGTGATGACAGGACTAGCCCATGGCTTCAAGTGATGACAGGACTAGCCCATGGCTTCAAGTGATGACAGGACTAGACCATGGCTTCAAGTGATGACAGGACTAGCCCATGGCTTCAAGTGATGACAGGACTAGCCCATGGCTTCAAGTGATGACAGGACTAGCCCATGGCTTCAAGTGATGACAGGACTAGCTCATGGCTTCAAGTGATGACAGGACTAGCCCATGGCTTCAAGTGATGACAGGACTAGCCCATGGCTTCAAGTGATGACAGGACTAGCCCATGGCTTCAAGTGATGACAGGACTAGCCCATGGCTTCAAGTGATGACAGGACTAGCCCATGGCTTCAAGTGATGACAGGACTAGACCATGGCTTCAAGTGATGACAGGACTAGCCCATGGCTTCAAGTGATGACAGGACTAGCCCATGACTTCAAGTGATGACAGGACTAGCTCATGGCTTCAAGCGATGACAGGACTAGCCCATGGCTTCAAGTGACGACCACCTTGTCACTTTATCTGTGGCCAAGACAGTTGATTTTGTCCTGGACGAGTGTCCGGCAAAACTTGAGTGGCAACGCATCAATGTCCTCTCGTGGTGGGAAAAAAGGGAAGGGGTCGGGGAAGAGGTGGTGATTTCTAACAGCTTGTCTGAGCAGTTTCGCAGCTTCAGGAAACACACCAAACACATGTTTGTATGTGAGTGTGTCTGTCTCTGTGTATGAGTGATTTGTGAAACAGTTTGGTTCTACTACTAGACACGATTCTGCAGAAGTCAGGGGCGGTGTTATTATCCCATCACTTGACTCGCCATCATTGCTCTGCCCACCTCCTAGACTACCACAATTGCCACCAGCAACACAACCACTGCCACTAGAATTACTACCGCTTATACTCATGTCACTAGTACTGCTATTACTGCAGCTGCTGCTACTGCTGCTACTGCTACAATTGCTGATGCTACTATTGCTGCTGCTGCTACCGCTACTATTGCTGCTACTACTATTGCTGATGCTGCTACTGCTGCTGCTGCTACCGCTAGTATTGCTAATGCTACTACTGCTGCTGCTCCTTTAAAAGGCAAGGGGAAAACCTTTCCTAAATGAAATGGACATGTCATCATCATCATGTAGTAGGTCCTTTTTGAGAACGTCGCTCTCATCACAGTCTGCCTGTAAGAAACTCGGTCTCTTGCCAGTTCTCCCGCCTCATGAACTTTCACACTCAAGGAACTTATATCCTGTGCCCATCTTTGTGTTGGTCGGTCCCTGCCACTCCTTCCTGGTACCATGCCTTCTGCTATAGTTTTTTCCAATCCGTTGTGGCGCTTGATATTTTAGTAATAAATATTTTAGCTTCCGAGAAAGGATGCTGTTTATTAGCCAATCTTCCTTTATGTTCAGATCTTTTAAGATGTCAATATTTCTCCTCTTATTTGTCCAAGATATTCTGAGAATCTTTCTATAGCATTTCAGCTCAAAAGCCCCTATTCTCTTTCTGAAGGACTGAGAGATAGTTCACGACTCACATCCGTATGTAGCTACAGGGAAGATGCATGCTCTCAAAATTCTAATTTTTATCTCCTTGCTGGTGCTTAACCATAGACTTTTAAGGCCGCTCAATCTTTGCATTGCCAAGGCCATCCTCCTTTTAATTTCTGTTGAACAGTCTCCATTGTTGTTTATTATAGAGCCTAAATATTCAAAGTTTGTGACATTTTCAATTTCTTCATATTGTTATTTTTGGGTGACAGCCAGTTTTATCTGTGGACATTATTTTCGTTTTCTTTAAATTCAAGAAAAGATTTTGATCTTCACTCTGCTTTTGGACGGACAATATTAAATTTTCGATTCCTGTTACGCTGTTCGAAAGGAGGACTGTGTCATCTGCGTAGTTCCGGAATAGGGTTGCAACCAATTTTGAGCGGATCATAACTGTCACAAGTCTGGTCATTTTTGACATTTCTCGGTATATTTTCTGCGTATATATTGAATAGAGTGGACATGAACAAATGTAAATATTATTATCCATATTACTGTAAGTTTAATTGCGACACATTTTTTAAAATGATTTATTTTTGTTTATATTTTGAATGATCATCATCGTGTAGCAAGTCCTTTGCAGGGCGTCGCTATTATCAAGGTCTGGCTGAAAAATAGATATGCATAGTTTGTATCATTTTAAATCTTTTGTTATTTCTGGGTGACAGCCAGTTTTTGTGTGTGGACATTATTTTTGTTTTCTTTAATTTCAAGAACAGGTTTTGATCTTCACTGTGGTTTTAGAGAGGCATAATTAAATGTTCTATTACTTTGACATCGTTGAAAAGGAGGACTGTGTCACCCACACAGCAAAGTTCTAGAACAGGGTAGCCACAACTTTTGTTGTTAAGACGGCTGGGGGAGGGGAAGGGGAGAGAAAGGGGGGGGAGCCACGAAAATCGTTGAAATGCTCATGGCATCAAGGGGCCTGAATCCGGCGGTGGCGTGCACGCGCACACACACACACACACCTGCACACATGCTAGTCCTCCTCATCCACCCACATACACACGCACACACACACACACACACACACACACACACGTGCACACATGTTAGTCCCTGTCATATTTGCACATTGTCTTTTGTAAATTTGCTTTGTGGTGCGGGCGTTCCGCCACAGAGAAAACATTGGGAGGGAGCCACAACCCACGTCATAAAAAAAAACAGATTAGTCTATATAACTATGATTAGCATCGTATACATTATTCGCCGCTGGCGTTCGAAGGGTCCTTTACATGATGTCACATATCGCTCCTGTCGCGTGCCTGATTTAAGGATATCTCCTTATGAACCAACGGCACTCATAAATAATTATGTTGAGTCGTTGGCTCGTTTGGTCTAAGGGATGCCCCGTGGCCAATATACGCTCAACTTATTTCAGGAGTAGGGCAACTCAAGTTTTGGCACTACAAAATATATAATATTCCTAGGCACACTTGACTGGACACCCCCGCTACTATAAAAAGATAGCCCCCAAGTTATGATAGTATACTATCATAGAATTCCAGAAAAATTTGACTAAAAAGCTCAACAAAGTGGGAAAGAGGAAAACGTGCACAAAACAACACAACGTAACGTTTCGGCCAGGCAGCCTTTTTCAAACACAAGTGAAATACACAAACGAGGAATGGAGATGTTAACACAGATAACACTTATTACTCACACAAACATCAGAGCTAGACAGTTAGAATGGTGAAATAGAGACACCCAAGTCAGCCATGAAAATTTGTGCATGTAATCAGTACAATATATACATATAATAATGAATCGATAGCAACGAATTCAGTGAATGGAGCTCAGGAAACAATGACACAACCCAGATATTGAAGCAGCCAGATTCAGTTCTATGAGAGTACATGAGTTCATCCTAGGAATCTCGAGGTGCTGTGGGAAGAGAGCATGATAATGAATAAGTGATCACTTAGCCCAGTTCGTAGGCCAATGCTCCCCTCAGTCCATGGTGATTCGACTGTAGTTGACTCAGGTATCGGTATCTATGCCTTGATTTCATCTGGTACAAGTTGACTATCTCAGCATCGAGGACACAGGAACTGCACAGGAACTCACCAAGTCTCCCTCACAGGTCAGGACACAAAAACTGCATCAGAGCCAAACAAAGCTCTTGAAGACTGGTTCTCTGGATTGATGACACAGATGTCTGCAATTGTCCACTCGTCCTGGAACTCAGAAACAAGCTCTTGCCATGCTGAGGTAGTGGCACAATGGGCGGGACTTTTGGGTGTGCTTGGTGCCCAGAATGGTATGGGTTGGTGGTTGTTGGCTGGACTGTGATTCGTCTGCCTGAAATCTAATGAGGTATCATCTCAAGCTTATGAAATCTTCCAAGATAAAAATCGAACTTTGAATGCGCCAATTTCTACATAGACTGTATACACTTCTAGACACTTTTGGATCAGGCGAAAGAATGCTTTCTCAAAACCAAACTTAGCGTCTCTAGGAAAGAAGTCCCCTGTATTCATGCCTAAGGAGTAAACCGGCTTACATGAATTTCTGAATTAAATACCAGAAATCTTCAACCTTCAGTTGCAAGTTTGAAAATGAAGATTTATCAAAGCAACTAGAGGGTCTAGAAATGAATATTTTACCAGATAAAGGTATAGATCAATATAAGGGACTATATATCCTTCCGAAAGGGTTTAAGTTTGAAATTTGACTGTCCGCGTAGGGAGTTCAGATACACGACTCGTCCATCTTGTAGGGTTGGCTGTTCACTTCACGACACATGACTTGCAAACATTTCTACAGCGCCCCTAGAAATGTGTACACAATGATTTATACTGGCCTGTAGAAAGTTGTACACGTTTGCGCCTAGGACACATTAGTTCAGACATTCATAGTTTATTGTACACGAGGCAGGCCTACCCCCTGGCGACATCAGCCGACATCAGTCCAATTGAGACATCTGTGGAAACACTAGTCCACCAATCAAAACTTGCCTACTAAAATGAAAACAAACGCAAATAATCTCCAGGATACAAACCAAGAGGAAAACGGTAAGACATTTCACGTTTCATTTTATTGACCGCACGCAACACGTGTCTGATACGTCCCGTTTCAACAACATTTGTTTGAAAATGTTTCATATGAAGAGAGTCAATCGTTGAAACGTGTTCATTATTGATCTGCCATGTTGGCTGGCCTGCAGATTCGAGACTTTTGATTGGCCAAGCTAATCTCTGTGAATTCTCCACTTTCTAGAGCTGAAAGAGGAACTTGTCTGGGTCTTTCTTTGACCCATCGTCAGACAACCAGTATCTAGGAACCAAGTAAGAACTTTCTTGTTGTGGCTACAGATAACCTATGTGTGTGTATTTGTGTCGTGGCATATTTCACTCTATTTTCAATTTAAAAACTTGTAAACATTGTTTATATCTTGTGCGACAATCCTTGTCTATCGCTTTGAGCGCCTATAGTTATTCCTACAAGTAGTTAATTGATCAGCCGGTTGGTCATCCTGACTGTACGTGGGACAAGTCCTTAAGCGATCGGATCCCATCTTCAGTAGCTCGCTGAGAACGTTGCGACTGAAAATACCAGTTCTGCGTTGTTTTCTTTTCTTCTTTGGCTATAACTATAGAATTCATGTGTGGCAACATTTCGTTTGACACGAAGTTCCTGTAGTCTCTTCGAGGTTGCCTATTCACTGTTGACTCCCGAATCGTCTACTCGTCCAACTTCCTTAAGAATATACAGAACACCGGTCCGGTCCATTGCTTGTCCGGTACCTGCCCTGACCCTACCAGCCAGTCAATACGCTCGTTCATTCTCTTTTACCCCAGAATGTCCGTGCACAACAATTTAACTAATTCCTGTCAGAATCGATTTTCTTAGAGACTTCAACCGTTGGAGTCGAACCCTTCCTGTCACAATCTCTCGCCCTCCCTCCCCGAAAGGTATATGAAAGCTGTCTATAACTGGTTGGATTGTAAAGCAACAACCCGCCCCCCCCCTCCTCTCCACTCCAATTAGGTACTACAGTCAGCCTCACGCCGACCTATCGCAGCCAACCTTTGGAACCTGACTGGTCAGTTACACTGTCCCTGTTGATTCAATGCCCGCAACCATACCGGCACACCTTATGACTGACTGACTGACTGACTTTCTACCCCACCAGGACATCACACAAGCGATAAACACCCAATGACACAAAGTGCCACCATGTGGGTGAGGATCGCCGTGGAGAGGCCCCAGAAACCGCGTTCAGACAACTGGCCAGATTTAAGGCCTGCCTATATTGCGGCCCCTGGCAAAAGCCATGGTGGGGCTTCATATAACCAAAAATTTCATCCTAATTTCGGACGACACTGGATTGCAATGGCTGCCAAGGCCTTACTATCATCTCGTGTGGCACACCTTATATGGAAAGACGGAATTTGTAACGAACTCAGGCCCAGCTCCGCCTACCTACACACTTTTGATTAATGGAGTCCGGCCAGGACACTGTGATTAGACATTCAGTGTCCGCATTAGTATATGAGACCCGCAAGTGTAAGTGGCAGGGAGGCCAACTTGGTCTATGCTTCAATCGGCCACCACGCGTGTTCTATATTTTATAGAACGACCTTTAACGACCAAGTAACACATCCAACTGGCCCTAACCCCAAATTCCGCTCCCCCTCACACTGAAAAAAGGTGCCGCAGGAGAGTGCAGTCTACAGCAGAAGATCGGGACACTCCTGTGACCTTGAGCAAGGTGGACCAGCCTGATCAAGCATCAATGCAACCTGACCCAGTGTGTTTATGGGCGGAGTTGGTTATTAGTTGCGGAAAGACTAGAGAGTAGCCAACAAATGCATCATGTGGTGTTGTGTTCATTCGCAGGTCAAATCATGAAGCCATTCTGTTTGTCGCTGGTTGCCGTGGTAACAACTCTGGCATTATCGGTCAGTGCAGCAGACAAGAAATCTAAAGTGCAGTGGCAGTCAGTCAGAGTCAATGAAACAGTTACAGCAGGTGGGTTGTTTCTTCTGCTGCTGCTTCTTCTTCTTCTTCTTCTTCTTCTTCTTCTTCTTCTTCTTCTTCGTCTTCTTTTTTTTCTTCTTCTTCTTCTTCTTCTTCTTCTTCTTCTTCTTCTTCTTCTTCTTCTTCTTCTTCTTCTTTTTCTCTTTTTTTCTGTCATGTAGGCGGTTGGAAAGAGGGGAGCGGTGGTGCTGGAAATGCTATGCAATACTCTTACAAGGGTCCTGACTTCAGTCAAAACCACTGATGCAGTACGCCATGAACAGAAGCAGCCATACACGCCGTCTGCATATCCCGCGTCACGAACAAGCTTCTGACAGTATTTAGTTCTTCACCTCTCCCACCTGGATCTACACACCTGTGCATGTCAGAGTAACAGGCAATGAACGAACGGATCAGCTGGTATATCCTGCATTACTTCATGACGATGTCTGAACTGAGCAGGTGTCATCAACGTTTTTTGGACTACGTGATCCGAATATCAAGGGGGATCTGACTCATACATAGCACCCTGTGAAGAAAGCTGAGGATGGAAGCAATCTTTAACGTACTTGTGGCCCTCACACAATTTGGATATGCCATCTGTTTGTTGTCTACATACAGTCTGACAGTCTATATTGTCTCCGTTGTCTACATGCAGTCTGACAGTCTATATTGTCTGTGTTGTCTACATACAGTCTGACAGTCTATATTGTCTCTGTTGTCTACATACAGTCTGACAGTTTATATTGTCTGTGTTGTCTACATACAGTCTGACAGTCTATATTGTCTCTGTTGTCTACATACAGTCTGACAGTCTATATTGTCTGTGTTGTCTACATACAGTCTGACAGTCTATATTGTCTGTGTTGTCTACATACAATCTGACAGTCTATATTGTCTGTGTTGTCTACATACAGTCTGACATTCTATATTGTCTCTGTTGTCTACATACAATCTGACAGTCTACATTGTCTCTGTTGTCTACATACAATCTAACAGTCTATATTGTCTGTGTTGTCTACATACAGTCTGACAGTCTATATTGTCTCTGTTGTCTACATACAGTCTGACAGTCTATATTGTCTGTGTTGTCTACATACAGTCTGACAGTCTATATTGTCTGTGTTGTCTACATACAGTCTGACAGTCTATATTGTCTGTGTTGTCTACATACAGTCTGACAGTCTATATTGTCTCTGTTGTCTACATACAATCTGACAGTCTATATTGTCTGTGTTGTCTACATACAATCTGACAGTCTATATTGTCTGTGTTGTCTACATACAGTCTAACAGTCTATATTGTCTGTGTTGTCTACATACAGTCTGACAGTCTATATTGTCTCTGTTGTCTACATACAGTCTGACAGTCTATATTGTCTCTGTTGTCTACATACAGTCTGACAGTCTATATTGTCTCTGTTGTCTACATACAGTCTGACAGTCTATATTGTCTCTCACTGACTTATCTCTGCAGAGGCGACCCTGGACATCCTGGTGAAGAACTACGACGCCAACGGTGACCTACATGGGACCCTGCGCATCGCTTTGTTTGGGGAGACAGTCCCCATGACAGTCCTCAACTTTTTCAGCATCTGCAACGGTATTAAACGACCATCAGTAAGTGTTGTTAAACTCCATACTAAACTTCTGTATATTTGTAGCAGTGTTAAACTCCATGCTAAACTTCTGTATATTTGCAACACCGTTAAACTCCATACTTAACCTCTGTATATTTGCAACACCGTTAAACCCCATATTAAACCTCTGTATATTTGCAACACCGTTAAACTCTATACTAAACCTCTGTATATTTGTAACAGCGTTAATCTCTATACTAAACTTCTGTATATTTGTGACAGTGTTAAACTCCATACTAAACTTCTGTATATGTGTAACAGCGTTAAACTCCAGACTAAGCTTTTCTATATGTGTAACAGTTTTAAACTCCAGACTAAACTTCTGTATATTTGTAACAGTGTTAAACCCCATACTAAACTTTTGTATATTTGTAACTGTGTTAAACTCCATACTAAACTTCTGTATATATGTAACAGTGTTAAACTCTTATCCTTGTCTATATGTGAGTGTCAAACGCCGGTAAAGGTCTCTCTGTCTATAGCGATATGTGAGTGCTAGCCAGTATCTTCCCGTATCAGCTACAATGTGTCGCCAGACGTTCATCGGTAACTTGTTTCCATATCTTTATCTTTTCCTCGACTGAATTTCTAATTGTCAATCACCTCCCCACGTGGGAAGAATAATTCGTTATTTTGAAGCCCAACCCTGGCTGTGGCCGGGGGTTCTAATATAACCTAATGGTTAAACGGAGTTTCTAGGGTCTCTCCATGGGTGATTCTGATCCAAATGTGTTCCTGGGTGTGTATCGCTCACTGAGTAATGCAGTCAACTTCACACCGTCTACCGTTACACACACACACACACAGACACACACTCACAGACACACACTCACATACACACACTCATATATATATACCAGAAGAACCTTGCTCCCATATCAACCCTCCAGAAAACATCTCGATCACAAGCAAGATGTTCCACGTCCGTTACACCTTTCTTGAGATCATCCGCCACTCCCTGCACCTATCCCTCTCTCTCTCTCTCTCTCTCTCTCTCTCTCTATATATATATATATATATATATATATATATATATATATATATATATATATATATATATATATATATATATATATATATGTATGTATATATATATATAGCTGACTACGTAAATTGACCGAGGACCATCACCGGACAAGCCCATAAGCGCTCGGATCCCATCTTCAGGATCTTCATCAGCGTGTGGCGACTGATAACACCAGTTCTGTGTTAGTTGACTATTCTTCTTTGCTGCTTGCATCTTGTCCGGTGACAGCCCTTTTGAGCTCAGGATCTTGTAGTCTTTCCAGTGCTGTTTATCCGCCGTCATCTTCTGTATCATTCACTCGCCCTGCGTCCCTCCTGTATTACTCACTCGTCCTGCCTCCCTCCTGTATTACTCACTCGTCCTGCGTCCCTCCTGTATTACTCACTCGTCCTGCCTCCCTCCTGTATTACTCACTCGTCCTGCCTCCCTCCTGTATTACTCACTCGTCCTGCGTCCCTCCTGTATTACTCACTCGTCCTGCCTCCCTCCTGCATCACTCACTCGTCCTGTGTCCCTCCTGTATTACTCACTCGTCCTGTGTCCCTCCTGCATCACTCACTCGTCATGCCTCCCTCCTGTATCACTCATTCGTCCTGTGTCCCTCCTGTATCACTCACTCGTCCTGTGTCCCTCCTGCATCACTCACTCGTCCTGCGTCCCTCCTGTATCACTCACTCGTCCTGCCTCCCTCCTGCATCACCCACTCGTCCTGTGTCCCTCCTGTATTACTCACTCGTCCTGTGTCCCTCCTGCATCACTCACTCGTCATGCCTCCCTCCTGTATCACTCATTCGTCCTGTGTCCCTCCTGTATCACTCACTCGTCCTGTGTCCCTCCTGCATTACTCACTCGTCCTGCGTCCCTCCTGTATCACTCATTCGTCCTGTGTCCCTCCTGTATCACTCACTCGTCCTGTGTCCCTCCTGCATCACTCACTCGTCTTGCGTCCCTCCTGCATCACTCACTCGTCCTGCGTCCCTCCTGTATCACTCATTCGTCCTGCCTCCCTCCTGTATCACTCATTCGTCCTGCGTCCCTCCTGCATCACTCACTAGTCTTGCGTCCCTCCTGTATCACTCACTAGTCTTGCGTCCCTCCTGTATCACTCACTCGTCCTGACTCCCTCCTGTATTACTGCCTTGTCCTGCCTCCCTCCTGTATCACTCACTCGTCCTGCCTCCCTCTTGTATCACTCACTCGCCCTGCCTACCTAAGTGCACTGAGAACAGCGGCTCGGCACATTGATTTTCCTGTACCTACTCGTGACCCTTCCAGCAAGCCAATCAGCGCCTTCATTCCCTTTTTACCACAGAGTGCCCTAGCACAAAAATGAAACCGATTTCTCCCAGAAGAGATGTCTTCCGAGACTCCAACCATGTCTTCAAACGCATCCTGTCTCCGTGTTCTTACACACACTCACACAATCCGGTAGAATGGGCGCATGAGAGACATGGTGTCTCCCTGACCAATTCCGCTTTTGTGACCGCCATCACCTACATGGTCAGACTACTGGTAGACGAGACAAAAGCTCCATGGTCAGACTACTGGTAGACGAGACAAAAGCTCCATGGTCAGACTACTGGTAGACGAGACAAAAGCTCCATGGTCAGACTACTGGTAGACGAGACAAAAGCTCCGTAATCTTCCGCCATTATCCTCCTCGTGACATCATCTGGTATCTGCTTTAGCTGGGTCGATCTGGCAGGTCACACTGTGAAAACAAATATATGTTTGAATTGGATTTGAACCCTAGACTGTCTGGTAGGTAGGCGATGATCTAGCAGTTACACACACAAAGCTCTCTGCGCCTGTCAATGTGTTGAAGTGTCATCTGGTAATCTGACGAGCTAGATGTTTTTGTGACTGTTGTCACGTGACTGCTGTGTCATGGTTTCTGTCCCAGTGTCACTGACTGCGAAGGTGACTGTGACTGTGAAGGTGACTGTGACTGTGACTGTGAAGGTGACTGTGACTGTGACTGTAACTGTGAAGGTGACTGTGACTGTGACTGTGAAGGTGACTGTGACTGTGAAGCTGACTGTGACTGTGAAGGTGACTGTGACTGTGAAGCTGACTGTGACTGTGAAGGTGACTGTGACTGTGAAGGTGACTGTGAAGGTGACTGTGACTGTGAAGGTGACTGTGACTGTGAAGGTGACTGTGAAGCTGACTGTGACTGTGAAGGTGACTGTGAAGCTGACTGTGACTGTGAAGGTGACTGTGACTGTGAAGGTGACTGTGACTGTGACTGTGACTGTGACTGTGAAGGTGACTGTGACTGTGACTGTGAAGCTGACTGTGACTGTGAAGGTGACTGTGACTGTGAAGGTGACTGTGACTGTGACTGTGAAGGTGACTGTGACTGTGAAGGTGACTGTGACTGTGAAGGTGACTGTGAAGCTGACTGTGACTGTGAAGGTGACTGTGACTGTGAAGCTGACTGTGACTGTGAAGGTGACTGTGACTGTGAAGGTGACTGTGACTGTGAATGTGACTGTGACTGACTGTGACTGTGAAGGTGACTGTGACTGTGAAGGTGACTGTGACTGTGAAGGTGACTGTGACTGTGAAGGTGACTGTGACTGTGAAGGTGACTGTGACTGTGAAGATGACTGTGACTGTGAAGGTGACTGTGACTGTTAAGGTGACTGTGACTGTGAAGGTGACTGTGACTGTGAAGCTGACTGTGACTGTGAAGGTGACTGTGACTGTGAAGGTGACTGTGACTGTGAAGGTGACTGTGACTGTGACTGTGACTGTGAAGGTGACTGTGACTGTGACTGTGACTGTGAAGGTGACTGTGACTGTGAAGGTGACTGTGACTGTGAAGGTGACTGTGACTGTGAAGGTGACTGTGACTGTGAAGGTGACTGTGACTGTGAAGGTGACTGTGACTGTGAAGGTGACTGTGACTGTGAAGGTGACTGTGACTGTTAAGGTGACTGTGACTGTGAAGGTGACTGTGAAGGTGACTGTGAAGGTGACAGTGACTGTGAAGCTGACTGTGACTGTGAAGATGACTGTGACTGTGTAGGTGACTGTGACTGTGAAGGTGACTGTGACTGTGAAGGTGAATGTGACTGTGACTTGAAGGTAACTGTGACTGTGACTTGAAGGTGACTGTGACTGTAGCTGTGACTTGCAGGTGACTGTGACTTGAAGGTAACTGTGACTGTGAAGGTGACTGTGACTGTGACTATGAAGGTGACTGTAACTGTGAAGGTGACTGTGAAGGTGACTGTGACTGTGAAGGTGACTGTGACCGTGAAGGTGACTGTGACTGTGAAGGTGACTGTGACTGTGAAGGTGACAGTGACTGTGAAGTTGACTGTGACTGTGAAGGTGACTGTGAAGCTGACTGTGACTGTGAATATGACTGTGAAGGTGACTGTGAAGGTGACTGAGAAGGTGACTGTGTGTTTCAGGGCGAGCTCAAGTACGCCAACACCCAGTGCCACAGAATGATCCGGGACTTGAACTTCCAGTGTGGGGACACCACCACAGGCGATGGTTCTGGGGGTAAGCTGTGTGTATGTATGTGTGTGTGTGTGTGGGTGGGTGGGTTCGCGCGTGCGTGTGCGTTATCGTGTACGTGTGTCTGAGTATTTGTGAATTTATGTGTGCGACTGTGTGTGTGTGTGTGTGTGTGTATATATATATATATAAGAGCGTGTATATGTGTATATGATGTGCGTGCGTGTTTGTATTTTTGTATGTATGTGTGTATATATGTGTGGCTTGTTGACTGCACAGATAACTGCTCGGTGTTTGTGTGTGGCTTGTTGACTACACAGATAACTGCTCGGTGTTTGTGTGTGGCTTGTTGACTGCACAGATAACTGCTCGGTGTTTGTGTGTGGCTTGTTGACTGCACAGATAACTGCTCGGTGTTTGTGTGTGGCTTGTTGACTGCACAGATAACTGCTCGGTGTTTGTGTGTGGCTTGTTGACTACACAGATAACTGCTCGGTGTTTGTTTGTGGCTTGTTGACTGCACAGATAACTGCTCGGTGTTTGTGTGTGGCTTGTTGACTACACAGATAACTGCTCGGTGTTTGTGTGTGGCTTGTTGACTGCACAGATAACTGCTCGGTGTTTGTGTGTGGCTTGTTGACTGCACAGATAACTGCTCGGTGTATGTGTGTGGCTTGTTGACTGCACAGATAACTGCTCGGTGTTTGTGAAACCTCTAGAGGATGTGAACATCTGATCACGTTGACGACCGACCGATGTCTGAGTCCTGGAGCCTCGTGAGACTGACCATGGGATTGTCCTCCCAGATTGTCCTCCCTGAAGTCGAAATCCCCGTAGGGACTGTGCTGGTGAACCCTCTTGGCACCTCAGAGCATATAAATCATCTCAGCGTTGAAGACGTGTGCTGGACACTCACAATGTAACATGTCATCAGTGTCGTCAGAGACCGTTAGGGAGGGTTGGCCTCAGACTGGCCTCCACATCCAGTAGAACACTGAAGCTTCATAATCCAGCCTAGTCCACACAAGTTTTGGGGTGAGTCAGTTGAGGGCCTATGCTCCACGGGGAGATCTAAGACAGAAAAAAAAAATAACTCAGCCAAGTAAACAGTTTGTCATCGCACATCACGTGACTGCCACATACATAATGTTGGTCCTGGTGTAGTAATCGCCACGATCAAATTCCTGGTGCTCCAGCTCTATCACAGGTTTGCCAGTCACGTACTAACTAACTAACAAACCAACGAACTAACGAAATAACGTACTAACTAACCAACAAACTAACTAACCAACGAACCAATGGATTAACCTGACTGTCGAAGGGTCACAGGTTTGGCATGCAGATCCGTCTTGCATTCAGCCTTTTCAATCACTCATCTTTCACACAACAATGTGTAAACCTGCTTGCTCGTTTGTTGTACCCCACCAGGAAATGGCACAAGCGATAAACACCCGGTGAAACAAAGTGCCACCATGCGGATAAAGATCACACTTAGAGAGTTCCCAGAAACCCCTTTCAGCCGTTATGGCTACATTTGTGGCCCTATCTTCAGGGTCCCCGGCAAAAGCTAGGGTGGGGCTTCAAATAACGAAAACCTGCATCCCACAAGGGGATGACTTATGATAGGATTAATTTGTGAACTGACTGACTGACTTTCTACCCCACCAGGACATTACACAAGCGATAAACACCCGATAACACAAGGTGCTGCCATGTGGATGAGGATCACCGTGGAGAGGTCCCAGAAACCGCGTTCAGACAATTGGCCATATTTAAGGCCTACCTATATTGCGGCCCCTGGCAAATGCCAGGGTGGGGCTTCAAATAACAAAAAAATTACGTCCTAAAGGGGGCGTAGAGACGTAATTTGTGAACGGCTGACTGACTGACTTTCTACCCCACCAGGACATTACACAAGCGATAAACACCCGATGACACAAAGTGCCACCATGCGGATGAGGATCACCGTGGAGAGGTCCCAGAAACCGCGTTCAGACAATTGGCCATATTGATGGCCTGCCTATATTGCGGCCCCTGGCAAAAGCCAGAGTGGGGCTTCAAATAAGAAAAAATTACGTCCTGTAAAGGACGTAAGTATGTTTAGTTCGTAATTTGTGAAGACTTGACTTGACTTTCTACCCCACTAGGACATCACACAAGCGATAAACACCCGATGACACAAGGTGCCACCATGTGGTTGAGGATCACCGTGAAGAGGTCCCAGAAACCGCGTTCAGACAATTGACCATATTTATGGCCTGCCTATATTGCGGCCTCTGGCAAAAGCCAGAGTGGGGCTTCAAATGACAAAAAATTACGTCCTAAAAAGGACGTAAGGGACACTGCATAGTAATTTGTGAAGCCTGTTATGTTGTTATGTTCGTACAGCAGTATGCATGTTATTAATACACAGAAAGCATCGCTGGTATATATACAAGGTCTGACAATTAAGTAATGAGGCTTATTCAATAAAAATTTTAATAATCAACAGTTGAAGATGTAGCCTGTATTTTATTCAAAGTAAGCCCCTTGTGCATTGATACAAGTGGCACGATCTAACAAACACTGGAACGACCTCTGTAGTTCTTCTGTTGTTATGGCCCTTAAAGTCGATGTTACGGCCCTTTGGATGTCAGCAATATCGTTAAAAAAGCGTCCTTTCAATCAAAACTTTAATATTGGGAATGGCAGACTGACTGACTTTCTACCCCACTAGGGCATCACACAAGCGACAAACACCCGATGACACAAAGTGCCACCATGCGGATGAGGATCGCCGTGGAGAGGCCCCAGAAACCGCGTTCAGACATTTGGCCATATGTATGACCTGCCTATATTGCGGCCCCTGGCAAAAGCCAGAGTAGGGCTTCAAATGACAAAAACTTTCGTCCTGAAAAGGACGAAACTGGATACAGATTGGGAATGGCAAATAATCACAGGCAGATAAATCTGTGGAAATAAGGTGGAAGGCTGAGAACACAAACTTGGTTTGGGGAGGACAATTCTTATTTTGATGATGTCTCTTGGGTACTCAACCCGCTGATGTTTTTGGTCATCAAACAACGAATGTGGTACAAACCAGCAAGCAACTTTTTTTCTTGCCAAAATCTTGCACTAAAATGTTATGAATGGTCTTTCTATTAACACCAGATTCATCTGCCATCATCCTCACAGCAAACCAATGATCTTTTTGTATCCTTTCTCTGACTTTTGCAATGAGTTCATCATTACAAACCATAAATGACCTATACATGTACATAGGTCCTTTACTAGTGACCACTGACCCATGTATGACCTATATGTGTACAAGGGTTCTTTATTAGTGACCACTGACCCATGAATGACCTAGATGTGTACAAGGGGGCTTTACTAGTGACCACTGACCCATGAATGACCTAGATGTGTACAAGGGTCCTTTATTAGTAACCACTGACCCATGAATGACCTAGATGTGTACAAGGGTCCTTTACCAGTGACCACTGACCCATGACTGACCTAGATGTGTGCAAGAGGCATTTACTGTAACATTGCCATGGATGTGCTGCCAGGTATCAGTATGTTTGGGGACACGTTTAACGACGAGAACTTCCAGATCGGCATCAGTGAGAAGGGCACACTGGGCATGGCGAACAGGGGCCCAAACTCCAACGGCTCGCAGTTCTTCATCACCTTCGGCAGCTGGCAGTACCTGGACAACATGCACGTGGGCTTCGGGCAGGTCATTGGCAAGGAGTCACTGGTGAGTCACAGCTTCTAGACAACAGTGTCTGTCTGTCTGTGGCACTGCTTGTAGATAACATAGTCTGTATATGTCTGTCTGTGGCACTACTTATAAACAGTGTTTGTGTCTGTCTGTCTGTGGTTATCTTGTAAATAACATAGTCTGTATATGTCTGTCTGTGGCACTACTTGTAGATAACATAGTCTGTATATGTCTGTCTGTGGCACTACTTATAGACAACAGTGTTTGTGTATGTCTGTCTGTGGCACTGCTTATAGATAACATAGTCTGTTTATGTCTGTCTGTGGCACTGCTTATAGACAACAGTGTCTGTAAATGTCTGTCTGTGGCACTGCTTATAGACAACAGTGTCTGTATATGTCTGTCTGTGGCACTGCTTATAGACAATAGTGTCTGTGTACGTCTGTGGCACTACTTGTAGATAACATAGTCTGTATATTTCTGTCTGTGGCACTGCTTATAGATAACATAGTCTGTATATGTCTGTCTGTGGCACTACTTATAGATAACATAGTCTGTATATGTCTGTCTGTGGCACTGCTTATAGATAACATAGTCTGTATATGTCTGTCTGTGGCACTACTTATAGATAACATAGTCTGTATATGTCTGTCTGTCGCACTGCTTATAGACAACAGTGTGTATTTGTCTGTCTATGGCACTGCTTGTAGTCAATAGTGTCTACATATGTCGGTCTGTGGCACTGCTTATAGACAATCTTCTTTACTTTTTTTCCTCTCACTGTTACCATGTTGTAGCCCAGTGTTGTAGTTTTCTGTATTTGCAGTGCGCTTCTCGGTTGGCTTGGGTGATGGATTTGATGTACACCATTTATCCACCACTTTCTTGGTCTTCCTCTCGCCTTCCTGCCAGATGGTCTACTGTAAAAAAGTCTCACATGCAGTCTGGTCTGGGTGCATTCTCACTTGATGGCTGAACCATTTCATTCTTCGTCTGTCAATATAATCCAGACACGGTCTTATTCCAACTGTCTCTCTAATGCTGGTATTCGTAACCGTGTCTCGTCTTGTGTTGTTAGTGACCTTCCGGAGACAGCGCATTTCACATCTAGCTATTTTATCTTTTAGTGCCCTGTGAATTGTCCATGTTTGGCCCTTGGGTCAGCAAATGCCTGCAAAAGTCGGATGTGTCAGCAGACTTCGCAACCATGCTGTAAGCGGACACAGTTTAAAACATTCAGACTAGCTGTCCAGAGCCACGCTGTGTGTCCAGGCTGTGAATGTCAAACTTCTCTTGTTCTGTGACATAAGTTCCTAGACTTTACGTTTCAAAGACATGCCCTTCGTTGCCAGGTTGTCATTCTAAAACTGCGATTGTTTTCCAACAGGAATTCCTAGACAAACTGGCAGAGATTGAGGTGGAAGACGACGGTCTGACGCCAAAGAAAAAGATCAAGATTGTGGGTTGCCAGGCCAAGGATGTGAAGAAGTACCAGCTAGAAAGACGTGCAAATGTTAACGATGATAAGTTCTCATAAACCCATATTTTTCTTTGATCAATAAATATTTGTAGTTTCACGTTTACATTTTTGTTTTTTCCCCTCTCATAATTAAATGAATATTTAGTGTATTGTTTCTCAGTTTGAATTGTGTATATGTTTTGTTTCTTAAGGCCGAATGACACATAGTGGACTGCTGTGTGTGTGTTCCATCTAAAAACTTTTCACAAAACTTGTCAAACTTTTTTTTTTCTTCTAAAAACTAATTCTTTAAACAGTCACTTACATACATGCATGTACACTAACCTTGCTGATAGTCGTACCCACACACCCACACACACTAACCTTGCTGATAGTCGTACCCACACACCCACACACACTAACCTTGCTGATAGTCGTACCCACACACCCACACACACTAACCTTGCTGATAGTCGTACCCACACACCCAAACACACTAACCTTGCTGATAGTCGTACCCACACACCCACAACACACTAACCTTGCTGATAGTCGTACCCACACACCCACACACACACACACACTAACCTTGCTGATAGTCGTACTCACACACCCACACACACACTACCTTGCTGATAGTTGTACCCACACACCCACACACACTAACCTTGCTGATAGTCGTACCCACACACCCCACACACACTAACCTTGCTGATAGTCGTACCACACACCCACACACACACTAACCTTGCTGATAGTCGTACCCACACACCCACACACACTAACCTTGCTGATAGTCGTACCCACACACCCACACACACTAACCTTGCTGATAGTCGTACCCACACACCCACACACACTAACCTTGCTGATAGTCGTACCCACACACACTAACCTTGCTGATAGTCGTACCCACATACACTAACCTTGCTGATAGTCGTACCCACACACCCAGACACACTAACCTTGCTGAAAGTCGTACCCACACACCCACACACACACTAACCTTGCTGATAGTCGTACCCACACACCCACACACACACACACACTAACCTTGCTGATAGTCGTACCCACACACCCACACACACACTAACCTTGCTGATAGTCGTACCCACACACACTAACCTTGCTGATAGTCGTACCCACACACACCCACACACACACACACACACATGCATGTACACTAACATTGTTGATAGTCATACCCACACACCCACACACACACTAACCTTGCTGATAGTCGTACCCACACACACTAACCTTGCTGATGGTCGTACCCACACACCCACACACACATGCATGTACACTAACCTTGCTGATAGTCGTACCCACACACCCACACACACTAACCTTGCTGATAGTCGTACCCACACACCCAAACACACTAACCTTGCTGATAGTCGTACCCACACACCCACAACACACTAACCTTGCTGATAGTCGTACCCACACACCCACACACACACACACACTAACCTTGCTGATAGTCGTACTCACACACCCACACACACACTACCTTGCTGATAGTTGTACCCACACACCCACACACACTAACCTTGCTGATAGTCGTACCCACACACCCACACACACACTAACCTTGCTGATAGTCGTACCCACACACCCACACACACACTAACCTTGCTGATAGTCGTACCCACACACCCACACACACTAACCTTGCTGATAGTCGTACCCACACACCCACACACACACTAACCTTGCTGATAGTCGTACCCACACACCCACACACACTAACCTTGCTGATAGTCGTACCCACACACACTAACCTTGCTGATAGTCGTACCCACCCACACACACTAACCTTGCTGATAGTCGTACCCACACACCCAGACACACTAACCTTGCTGATAGTCGTACCCACACACCCACACACACACTAACCTTGCTGATAGTCGTACCCACACACCCACACACACACACACACTAACCTTGCTGATAGTCGTACCCACACACCCACACACACACTAACCTTGCTGATAGTCGTACCCACACACACTAACCTTGCTGATAGTCGTACCCACACACACCCACACACACACACACACACACATGCATGTACACTAACATTGTTGATAGTCATACCCACACACCCACACACACACTAACCTTGCTGATAGTCGTACCCACACACACTAACCTTGCTGATGGTCGTACCCACACACCCACACACACATGCATGTACACTAACCTTGCTGATAGTCGTACCCACACACACACACACTAACCTTGCTGATAGTCGTACCCACACACCCACACACACACTAACCTTGCTGATAGTCGTACCCACACACACTAACCTTGCTGATAGTCGTACCCACACACACCCACACACACACACACACATGCATGTACACTAACATTGTTGATAGTCATACCCACACACACACACACTAAAGTTGCTGATAGTCGTACCCACACACACTAACCTTGCTGATGGTCGTACCCACACACCCACACACACATGCATGTACACTAACCTTGCTGATAGTCGTACCCACACACCCACACACACACTAACCTTGCTGATAGTCGTACCCACACACCGACACACACACTAACCTTGCTGATAGTCGTACCCACACACCCACACACACACTAACCTTGCTGATAGTCGTACCCACACACCCACACACACACTAACCTTGCTGATAGTCGTACCCACACACACTAACCTTTATGATAGTCGTACCCACACACCCACACACACACACACACATGCATGTACACTAACCTTGCTGATAGTCGTACCCACACACCCAAACACACACTAACCTTGCTGATAGTCGTACCCACACACCCACACACACACTAAATTTGCTGATTGTCGTACCCACACACCCACACACTAACCTTGCTGTTAGTCGTACCCACACACCCACACACTAACCTTGCTGATAGTCGTACCCACACACACACACACATACAGTAACCTTGCTGATAATCGTACCCACACACACACACACTAACCTTGCTGATAGTCGTACCCACACACACACACACACTAACATTGCTGATAGTCGTACCCACACACACACACACTAACCTTGCTGATAGTCGTACCCACACACAGATACACACACACACACACTAACCTTGCTGATAGTCGTACCCACACACAGATACACACACACACACTAACCTTGCTGATAGTCGTACCCACACACAGATACACACACACACTAACCTTGCTGATAGTCGTACCCACACACACACACACACACACTAACCTTGCTTATAGTCGTACCCACACACAGATACACACACACACACTAACCTTGCTGATAGTCGTACCCACACACACTAACCTTGCTGATAGTCGTAACCACACACCCACACACACACACACATGCATGTACACTAACATTGTTGATAGTCGTACCCACACACCCACACACACATTAACCTTGCTGATAGTCGTACCCACACACACTAACCTTGCTGATGGTCGTACCCACACACCCACACACACATGCATGTACACTAACCTTGCTGATAGTCGTACCCACACACCCACACACACACTAACCTTGCTGATAGTCGTACTCACACACCCACACACACACTAACCTTGCTGATAGTCGTACCCACACACCCACACACACTAACCTTGCTGATAGTCGTACCCACACACCCACACACACACTAACCTTGCTGATAGTCGTACCCACACACACTAACCTTGCTGATAGTCGTGCCCACACACCCACACACACACACACATGCATGTACACTAACCGTGCTGATAGTCGTACCCACACACCAACACACACTAACCTTGCTGATAGTCGTACCCACACACCCACACACTAACCTTGCTGTTAGTCGTACCCACACACCCACACACTAACCTTGCTGATAGTCGTACCCACACACACACACCATAACCTTGCTGATAGTCGTACCCACACTAACCTTGCTGATAGTCGTACCCACACACACACACACTAACCTTGCTGATATCGTACTTACACACAGATACACACACACACACTAACCTTTCTGATAGTCGTACCCACACACAGATACACACACACACTAACCTTGCTGATAGTCGTACCCACACACACTAACCTTGCTGATAGTCGTACCCACACACCCACACACACACACACACACACACATGCATGTACACTAACATTGTTGATAGTCGTACCCACACACACACACACTAACCTTGCCGATAGTCGTACCCACACACACTAACCTTGCTGATGGTCGTACCCACACACCCACACACACATGCATGTACACTAACCATGCTGATAGTCGTACCCACACACCCACACACACACACTAACCTTGCTGATAGTCGTACCCCCACACACACACACACACACTAACCTTGCTGATAGTCGTACCCACACACCCAAACACACACACTAACCTTGCTGATAGTCGTACCCACACACCCACACACACACTAACCTTGCTGATAGTCGTACCCACACACACTAACCTTGCTGATAGTCGTACCCACACACCCACACACACACACACACACATGCATGTACACTAACCTTGCTGATAGTCGTACCCACACACCCACACACACACTAACCTTGCTGATAGTCGTACCCAGACACCCACACACTAACCTTGCTGTTAGTCGTACCCACACACCCACACACTAACCTTGCTGATAATTGTACCCACACACACACACTAACCTTGCTGATAGTCGTACCCAAACACACACACACTAACCTTGCTGATAGTCGTACCCACACACACTAACCTTGCTGATAGTCGTACCCACACACACACACACACTAACCTTGCTGATAGTCGTACCCACACACATATACACACACACACTAACCTTGCTGATAGTCGTACCCACACACAGATACACACACACACACTAACCTTGCTGATAGTCGTACCCACACACAGATACACACACACACACTAACCTTGCTGATAGTCGTACCCACACACAGATACACACACACACACACTAACCTTGCTGATAGTCGTACCCACACACAGATACACACACACACACACTAACCTTGCTGTTAGTCGTACCGACACACTGATACACACACACACACACT